GGAAGTCTTATTTTGGGGAACGAGGTTCTAGAAAGCAAAACGACCAGTCGGGTCGTTGCACTTTTCGTGATTTAGAAAAAGTATTTTGTTTCATTTCAACAAAATGATGAAGTAAAAAATATTTTCTTTTATTTCAACAAAAAGAGTATTTTCTAGAAAAAATATTTTCTTTCATTTCAACAAAATGAGTATTTTCTATTCATGATGTAGAAAAAGTATTTTCTTTCATTTCAACAAATTACTTTTTTTTTATTTTAACAAAATAGGTATTTTCTTTTCATGATGTAGAATTTTTTTTTTATTTTAATAAAATGAGTACTTTATTTTATGTTGTACAAAGAGTATTATTTTTTTTAACCAAAAAAAGAGTATTTTCTTTTTAGCTATGGAGCACAAATTTCAATGTTGTTTTTGCGTAAAAAAGTAAAGCATATTTGTGTGAAACTTTAGAAGAATAATTAAATTGTTGAAGAAAATAGAGTCCTGAAAACGTTGAGTATTGGGGGGAGGGGGAAGGGAGGGANGGGAAGGGGGTGACGAGAGTACCATAAAAAATATTTTCTACTCTCTAACCAAACATTAGAAAATATTTTCCGGAAAAAAATTTTCACTCACCAACCAAACAAAGAAAAATAAGTGATAAAACCACTCATTTTCCATGAAAATATTTTCCATAAAAAATATTTTCGTTCGTACCAAACACACCCACAGTGGTTAATGCATCTCATTCTTTTAAAAAAATCCCGATATCTACTCTTAAAGTAATATTTAGATTTTCATACATATGCATAAAAATTACTCCATTTCGCAGTACTTTTCATATGATTTTACACAATGGAGTTTGAGTAAATACTCAGTTTAATTAAAAATAAAAAACGAAAACTTCTGACGTATAGGATAAATATACACTACTATATACTATCAAATTAGCGCTAGAAACTTCTAACCTTAAACACATGTGTCATTTTTATTTCCTATAATTAAGAACTTGTCATTAAAAGTAGAAAGAGATTGATAAAGTTAAAAAAAGAAATATATATATATATATATATATATATATATATATATATATGTATGTATGTATATATATAATGAATTATGATAGATCTCACTTCAATATTTAACGTACACTTAATTTGCTAAATACTTAAAATTATTGAATTATTCAGCGCCTTCATGGAAATTTACACACAAACGTCACTAACTCGAGGTTAGAGTTTGTAGAATAAGCACCTTATCTATGGACAGGTGACAGGTGTCCTTCTCCCATCCCTCTCTTCCCCGGCCCCTACAGCTGCGATTAATCAGTAACAGCTGAAGATACATAGTTAAAAGCATGAAAAATGTGGAGTTTGTCCAGTAATATACCTGATGAGTTTGCTTCCGTTTACCCATGTTTAGTTGATTATAATACTTACTCGGACTTGATGTTTATATTAATTTAGGTAAAATACATAAGTTACCCCCTGAAAGTGGTGCGTCTTAGGGACATTCTGGAAAGGTTGAGTGTGCAAGATAATTTTCGTCCGTAAAAAATGTGTAACAGAAATTTGGTCCATAGTTCAGGGGTAACCTATGTATTTTGCCTATTAATTTACTATGATTAAAAGGTTTAATGAGGTGAGAATTTATATTAGTAAATTGAGTTATGCAAATATATTACATGCATATGAGTGAGTAAGCCAATAATTAAGGGTATTATCACTTTTAGCCCGCGTCAGAAATTATTTACTGAATGTATAAGACTTGTATAATTTTTGTATATAACATACTGAATATATATATATATATATATATATATATATATATATATATATATATATATATATATATATATATATATATATATATACAAAAATATACAAATTTAATATTTTTTTCGGCTATTATTTTTACAGAAGCTATACAGTATCATTTTTCCAATAATTAATAACTTTTTATTTTGACATCCAAGCCAAAAGCCAGAGAAGAGAAAAAGAAGCGGTAAACATCTATGCACCAAAAGCGCAAAAAATCTTTAATTTTATATTATTAATTGAAGATATAATGATCGTGCAAAATTCTATTAATGTTTACTTCATGATGTTGTGTATGTTTTAGTTAAGTTCCATTATCAGCAATTTGAACATATAATAAAAAAATTATTTCTTTTTGTTCCATTTTATGTGGGTGGAGTACAAGGGTAAAGCGACTAACTTTCGCATGAATTTGGATATTTAATATTTTTGAATGAAATTTATATATTCAAAAATTCAAAAAAAAAAAAAAAACTATAAGTCATAATATAAACACAGTGAAACCATAGGACTTTTGAAAGAAAGAGCAAGGATGGAGCAACATTGCAAGAGACATCGCATACATGTGTAATGTTGAGCACCTATGAGACATAGGAACTTTCTTCAGTCATATTTATTCTAGTATTTTTTCCTGTATTAATAGGCTGTGGGATGAGTTAGTTTTTTTTTTTTTTTTTTTTTTTTTTTTTTTTTTTTTTTTTTTTCCTTTAGACATTTAGCTGAGTTAACTAACTATGGCTTGTACAGTATATTTTACTTGGCGATTAATGCAACAATTAGTTACTAAAAAAAATAGTAATTTAAAGAAATTAAAAAGTAATTTTAAAGTACATGGTCAAAAAATATCTTTTTTGACTCTCCAAATAGTAATTGTGTCACATAAATTTATAAAGGTAAATTTCACAAATGGTCATATAACTATGATTTTTTTTCATCAAAGTCATATAACTTTGTTTTCTCACACAAAAATCATTTAACTATGACCTTTTTTCATCAAAGTCACATAACTATGTTTTGTCATACAAAAATCATAAAACTTTTACTAACTCACACAAAAATCACAGTGATCGAAAAATATAACTTTTAGTAGTTCTTATTTTGTAGCTTTTTATTTTTTATTTTCAGTCTAATAAATAATAATGCAACTAAAATAGGAATAATTCAACCAAACATGGCCCACCTGACCCAATACTCATATATACAAATTAAAATAATATTAAAAGTGAATAGTAAATCCTTCAAAACATGATACTTCTGTATCTCTTTTTTTTTTTTAAAGATTTTTATTCAAATTAAGAGCAATTTTATTTATAGTACTCTCTAATTATACCTTTTATTTCTTTGGTTTTTTCCAGAATCTCATGCATTCCGAACAAATTTTTATGGGGGAAGAATTCACTTTTAGTATTATTTTAACTTACGTATATATGGGTATAAACTAATTGCATTTTCTAGCCAATATATATATATATATATATATATATATATATATATATATATATATATATAGTATGTGTATGTTATATGTATATAATACACATATATATAAAAAAATATTTTATCAGATATTATTTTTAGGAGCGGCTAGAAATATACTCATATTTCTTCTATTTTAATCGGGTAATTATTTATTAGACTGAAAATAAAAAATAAGAAAATACTGCTTGAAAATTTATTTTCCGACCACTATGATTTTAATGTGAGTTAGTGAAAGCTTTACGATTTTTATGTGAAAAAATAAAGTTATATGACTTTAGTGGAAAAAAAGTCATAGTTATACGATCATTTGTGAAATTTACCCAAATTAAATTATGGAGAGTATTATTTAAACAATTCTTACTTTTAGATGGAGGGCCTTAGATATATATTAATAGTTGGAGAAAAAATTGCCTAATCCTTGAGGTGCAAATCTCTGTATTTTGTCGGGAAATACAATAAACTTTAATTACTCCCTTCATTCCGTTTTATTTTACATTATTTTTTTATTAGTTTGTTAAAAAGAGACATATTTCTATATTTTCTTGTGAGAAATTTTTATAACCACACAAATATTATGATGAATTTAAGACTACAAGTTTCAAAAGTCTTATAACCAAATAATTGTTATGGAATATTTATGACCATAAATTTTAAAATTCGTGCCAAGTCAAAATACAGTCTTTTTTTTCTTCAATTCTTTCTTTTCTTTCTTTTTTAAAAAAAAAAAAAAAATATATATATATATATATATATTTTTTTTTTTTTTTTAAAAAAGAAAGAANTTTTTTTTTTTTTTCCTCCTGGCTAGACAAAGCTGCTAACCACTACTTTAATTAATTTTGCACAGCACAGAAGTCATAATACAATGATCAGCTGTTACACTTTTGGCAGTGCTGTTTGTAACTAATATGCCTTTGTCCCTTGTCTTTGTCTTCTTATTGTTTTTTTTTTTTTTTACTGCGTCATCAAAATTATATCTTGTACTAGTAATTAATAAATCTCCCATTTGCCTTCCTGTTACAATAATGTAATATTGCAGTCTGACTTGACTTAGCTTTTCAATTAAGTACGTATAGACTGTTCACATTGTGTTGTGTAAATCGCTGAATGAGCTCTACAGAGTGCAGGCATATCCACCCTGTATTACATGTACCTTCACATATCAAAGGAGACATTTTGGGAAATAAAATTACATAGCCGTTTCCAAAATAATAGCAGAAAAAATATATATTTTTATATATTATATATATATATATTCTGTATGTTATATAGTATATTTATACACTTTTCAGCTATCAAATATAAATAGTTTTCGACACGGGCTAAAAGTAAAAAGTCCGGGCCCAATGAAAAAATTTGCATCGATGAAGAATCGTTTAATTTATATACGTTGACGATTTTACTTTACCAAATCACTTAAAACCAAATTACATACTACTGCAACTTTTATAGCAAGCATGGATTAATAATCTGCAAAACATGGTTAAGGACCTCTTTTAATAGGTAAAACTATAGTATTATCTTTTTTTTTTTTTTTATATTGTCCACGTATATAAAATAAATTTATTAAAAAAAGGATAGTTCAGTGCACAAGGTATCATGTATTTACCCAGGTCCAGAGAAGGGCCGCACCCCAAGAGGTGTGATATAGACTGTCTACCCTAATACAAACATTAGTGACTGCTTTCACAGCTCGAACTCGTGACCTATATAGATCACATGGAGTCAATTTTACCGTTACTCCAAATCCCTTCATAAAATAAATATATATTGATAATTAAAAAGTACTTGAGAAAAGCTTGAAAGAGGAAAAGCAATCCCCAACATATAGTACTCTTGAGCCATGAACTCTCTCTTGGAAGAAAAAATCCAAAGAAAGCAAACACACTTGCCTCAATTCAGCAACAGAAAGAACATATACAAACTAATCCATCTAACAGCAAAACCCCAACAGTGAATTAATCAATCTTCTAAAATGAGTACTTTTATAAGAGGAGCAAAAAAAGGAGCCTAATTGAAGATGATGAGAGAAGAGGGAATATCATCAAACAGTAGGTGTCAAGACTGTGGAAATCAAGCAAAGAAAGATTGTCCATATTTGAGGTGCAGAACTTGCTGTAAAAGCCAAGGGTTTCAGTGTCAAACCCATGTCAAAAGCACTTGGATCCCTGTCTCTAGAAGGCGTCCAAGGCACCACCTTCTTCACACTATTCAACAACAACAACAGCAGCAGCAGCAGAAGCAGCTTCAAGTAAACCCTAAAAGATACAGAGAAAATGATAATAATCTTGCTGCAGGTACTTCATCTTAATTTATCTACTGTTGTCCTCAAACACAATCTTGATTGCACTGTACTAAGAGATCTCAACACTGGTGCACTAAGCTCCTGCTAAGCGCGGGGTTCGGAAAGGGCCATATCGCAAGGGTCTATTGTACGCAGTCTTACCCTGCATTTCTGTAAGAGGTTATTTTCACGACTCGAACTCATGAACTCCTGGTCACATGGCAGCAATAACTTTATCGATTACACCAAAACTCACCTTCCAAGAGATCTCAACACCATTTTTGCCAATATGCTTACCCTTTTTATGTCTATTACTTATCTATTCGCAGACACCATCAAACCCTAGTCATAGTAATAGTATATATAGCTCACTTTGACATTCAGTAGTACTATAATTATTATTATTATTAATATTTACTGCTATTATTCTGATTTCTTTTTTCTTATTTGACTCTTGGTATATGCTGAACATAGATGGATGAACCATATTGCACCCCTCAACTCAGCAAAAGACCCCCAAAAGAGTGTAACTTCTATACGCTTTCAGATCACCTAAAAGATGATTACATACAGAAATCGTCCACATAAATAGTGAGATTATTAGTAACAAACAACAACCGCAACAAATCTAGTAGAATCTTACAAGTGGGATTGGAGAGAGTAATGTGTACGCAAACCTTACATCTATCTTACAAAGGTGGAGAGCCAGTTTCCGATAGACCCTCGGCTGAGCTTAGTAACATAAAACATAAAATACACTAATAATATAAAAAAATTTTACATTGTTACTCTATACAAAATACTTCCGTATACTTATTTTCCCTATATATTTTACAATTGTAGGTGGGGAAGAAGAAGATCTACCAACAGAATTGAGTTTACCAGCAGTATTTCGATGTGTTCGAGTAAGTTCAACAGACAATGTGGTGGATCAATATGCTTATCAGACATCAGTGAAAATAGCAGGACATGTATTTAAAGGGATATTATATGATCAAGGCCCTGAGACTGAGACTCATTACACTAATATGGCTAGGGAAAGCTCCTCAAATGGCTTCCAACAAGAGCAACTTACAACAAATTCAACACAACCACTACCTTCTTACCCTAGTCCTTTTAATAATTTCATGCCTGGTACGCAATTTTTTCAATACCCAAAGTCATCCTAAAATTTAAAATTATTTCTGTTTTTTTTTTTTTTTTAAATTTAATATGTGCATTCCATGTGTAAATGTAAAATAATTATTTCCTTTCATTCCATAATAAGTGATCTTTTGACCTTTTTAATTGGTCCAAAATAAGTGTCCTTTTACATAATCAAGAAGAAATTTAATTTAACTTTTCTAAAATTTATCCTTATTTATATATCTCAATGTATCAATGTAACAATATGTAACTTCAAATTAAGGGTAATTTAGTGAATACATCTTTTTTTGTAGGAATTAGTATTTTCTGCCAAATACCAAAAAATCACTTATTATAGATCGGAGAAAGTATACACCGGATAAGAAAGGAAAAGAAGGCAAAGTTCAAAGTTATATATATATATATATATATATATATATATATATATATTGAGAGAGATCCACTTACTTGTTGTCTCCTATACGGTGCTAATATTATTTATCTGATTTCTATTATTGCTTGTCTTTGAGCCGAACGTCTCCCTGAAATCGACTCTCTGCCCCTCCGGGTAGGGGCTTGTTGTTGTATGTATCGAGAGAGAAAGAAAGTGCTCTAGTATTCTTTTGGGATTCCAATGAAGAATTATTTGCCCTTGGTCTGCAAAATTAATATATATGGTGCCGTGTTTACATATGGCTCTGCAGTTTGTCTTTTCGTGAATTTTAATTTCTCTCTGCCGCATTGTGTTAGGGAAATTAATCATGTCTGATTTATTGGTTGTTTATGAACTCCAAAGCTGCTTTTCTCCCCCATTATCCGTTTCTTTGCCGGCTAAATGTTGTTAGATTTAAATTATATTGAAAGTATAAATTTTTTTAACATTATCAAAATTGTTTTGCCTGTTATTACCGGTCATTTATCTTGCTTTTTAGATTACTTGTCCATATACGTTAGTAAAAAATATTAAGTTTCTAAGTTACTTGATAGTGTAAAATTTTGTTTACGCATTCAATATTTATGTTGAAGGGGAGCCTCAGAGACCTTTTATAGGCGGACCTAGGATTTAGACGTAGCGGGTGCATATTTGTATTCAGCCAAAATTTATTTTGTATATAAGGTGCCACTACTAATATATCACTATTTTGTAAAGACATATACATACAGACATGAAATTTTGCTGAACATTACAGGTGCCGGCCGGTGACCCCTCATTCTATATTATAGGTCTGTCTCTGTGGCCTATATATAGCTTATGGGTTCAAGCCGTGGAATCAGTTACTGATGCTTGTATCAGGGTAGGATGCATATATAACACTCCCTCGGAATGCGACCCATCCCTGAACCCTACGTAAACATATGATGTTTGATGCACCGGACTGCCCTTATTCAATATTCATGTTAGTTAACCTCAATCTTATGTGTCCATTTGAATGGCCATAATTAGAGGATAACTCTTTGAGTATATTTTAATCTTATTTAGTGTGTCTAGTGGTAGGCGAACGTGTTAAGCTCCCTTTCTTGAGCTTCATTCGGAGCTCAAAACAAACAAGAAAATGTAGGCAGTCATGAATACTCACTACTCTTGTCCCCTTCTTGTACGTATAAAGTTCAACAGAATTCTGATCATTTCTCCAAATTCACCTCTCTTTTCAAATCCTAGCGTTCGTTTATGCTTTTTATATTTTATTATTTGTACGTATACGCAGGTTTACAGAACGAAAAAGAAAACGAAAATAGTTACGTAAAAAGTATTTTCTCATTGTAATTAATTGAGTTGGTAGCATTGTCATGTGCCCATCTTAGGGTTCATTGAGTTGTTAGTTTCTTAAGCACCTCCACATATTAGGGCCTTTTTGCTTGCATGTGTATTTGAACCTATATATGTAGGTTTGTCCCAGGCAATTGATGTGTCTAATTTTTCAGGTTATTAATTTTATTTTTTTATAAACGATTTATTATCATTTAGATTACGTGATAGCATAGATTTTTTCTACATTATTAATATATGGAAGTTAATCACGTATATGACGCTATTCTAACCCAATGTATGTTGTCCTATACACAGATTAATATGGACTTCTCCATATATTTAATGTTTAGAAAAAACTTTGTTCATAAGAAAGTTGCTGCCATGTGATTAGGAGGTCATGAGTAGTGGCGGAGCCACAATATTCAACTAAGGGGTGTCAATCGACATCCCTTCGCCGGTAAATTACATTGTATTGCTAGATAATTTTTTCTGATTTATATATATTTATTGTACGTTGACTCCCCTGAACTTTTTGATATAGCTATTTTTTATATTTTGACACCCATTGATAAAAATTCTGGCTCCGCCACTAGTCATGAGTTCAAGCCGTGGAAACACTCTCTTGCAGGAATGCATGGTAAGATTATGTACAATAAATCCTTGTGATCCGGCCCGTTCCCAGACCCTACGCATAGCGGAAGTTTAGTTCACCCGACTGCCCATTTGTTAATAAGAAACCCTGGTGCAGATCATTGCAGCACTTGGGTAAATCATGGCAAAGGCATGAAAAGGGAATCTCTGATTATTATAATTATGAAGGTAACCCTTAGATGACAATACTTAAATAAGTATTTTGAAGTGAAAAGATTGGGTGGGCATCTACTGATTTTGTAGGTGATAGTGACTAGAAACCGAAAAGCAGCTAGGATTGCACATGTTCAACCTTTTATTCTAAAGAGACATTCACATTAACCAAAGGAATTGAAAAGATTGATATCCCCGTTGTTTAACCAAAAAATAGAATTTCGGTTAAAACTAGAAATTAAGAGAAAAAATCGGGTTACTGATAATCAGGAGACGAAAAGAATAAGAATTTTTTGAGGATAATAAAGCAGTAAATAAGTTTGTATTTCAATGTAATCTCAATGATTTTTCGTGTCCCTACAAATGCTGAGACCTCCTCCTTTTATAGTTGATTTTTCTAGGAAAAGGTATAATGCCTTAGCCTTAAAGAGGCAATTATGAGTATTAAATGACATTAAATGAAACGTTACACAATCATTCCTATTCAATACTGATTCGCTAACGTATTTGACATTTAATACTGAATTTAGACTCCTTTATGCCATCAGATTCATATCTTCAATTCCTTCTGACCTCCTGGCTTTAATTAAGTTAAATAGATACGAGACTCGTATCATTTGAATAGCATCTCGTGCCTATTTAACTTTCTTCTCCTCGTATCTGATATCGCCCGTGCCTCTTAACTGATCATCATGTTTTGACCATTTGACCAGTCCACGTGTCATGCCACGTCACCTTCAATATAAATTCAGTTTTTTCCCTATACAGATAGTCCCCCCACTTTCCATTTATTTATCAATTAAATATTTGGGAAGTGGATCTTCATTAAAAAGGGAATTTTTGCCATAATCAATGCTATGACAGTGTCGACGCTTCAATTGTCTCTTCTATTTAATGCACCATATACGTGTCACCTTCTCATTAGTTCTGCGATTTTGCAGTCTTTTTCTAAGGCTTCTTTAACTCCACTATTCACGAAGTGATAGTTGCCTTTATTATAGGCTTTCCATCATTACACTTTTAATTATCGACGGTTGAGTTTATATATAAACTTGCCCCCTTTTTTCTTTGTCTTCTTCTTCACAAGCTTTTTACCAAATTTCTTGCTATTTACTCTCGTTCACTTCTTCTTCAGTTCATACCTTCTGTTCATATCTTCTCACTATGTCGTCTTCAAATCCTAACCCTAAAAGAGTCCCAATTCTTGATAGTT